CAACACACCAAGACAGTAGATGGACAGTCTGTTAAATCATGAAGGTCACCACAGGCTAAGCATGGTTCACTCTCAGTTGCTGTGAGTTGTAAGACTTCCATCCTTGGTTGTTCTTGATCAGCTTTCAGATTCTTCACCTTATTCATCAGTGTGGCCAGCTGGGATTCCATGGTAGTTTGTTTGTCTAATTCTAGCATGCCTGGCTTTCTTACTGGGCTCATCTGTTCCAATGGCCATTGGAGACATCTTTCTGCAGTGCCTTCTATGATTTCATACCTGGATTCAAGGGTTCTTGTAAAAAAGTATCCTCATGCAGCAAAGTCTAAATGTGATTGAGAAGTATGATCCATGCCTTTATAGAAAGACTGTAAAATTCCTCAACTCTCCACCCCATGGTTTGGACATTTTCTGATGATGTCCTTATATCTCTCCCAAGCTTCATAAACATTTTCTCCATAAAACATTCTAAAGTTAAAGAGTTCTGCTCTAACATCAGCTTGACGAGACATAGGGAGAAACCTTTCTGTGAACTTGTTAGAAAGTTCCTCCCAAGAGTGAATGGATCCAGGGGTGAGAGTTTTCATCCATGTTTTTGCTTTTGAGCTTAGGGAATGAGGGAACAGCCTCATTTTCATCTTTCCTCTGTCACACCCTCAGCTTTGAAATTATCACAGATGTCTTGAAAGTTTGTGAGGTGTGTGTAAGGATCTTCTGCAGGGATTCCATGAAAGACTCCAGCTTCCCTTATCATGTGGAACATGATGGGTTTTAATTCAAAATTGGAAGCTACAAGAGGGAGGATTACTCCCCTTTCTGGTCTGTTCCTGAAGGGAGCAGCCAAAGATCTAAAGTTCTGTTCAGGAGGGATTTCGATATCATCATTGTTATTGTTATGATCAGCCATGTTTTCAAAATATTTTTCCTGAGATTTCTTCTTCTTCTATGTAAAGTGAGTTCTGGCTCAGGGTCAAAGAAGAACTCAGGTATTTCAATGGAGTGGTGAGAATCTGTTTCAAACTCTTCACTCATAAACCATAAAACAGATAATATGAATCAGCAGGATATGTGACAAAAATAAAATAAAAATGAAAATGAAATATACAGAGTATGTATGTACTTAAAACAGTAATAAGGACAAAATTTAGTGTATCTATCCCCGGCAATGACACCAAAAACATGTTGGGTCAAAGCTTGTTAGGTGGAAAATACTTTATGCTGTAAAACGTTCCTCAGTTCATTAAGAGAAAACATATTTGCTCTCTTAATTTCAACCCAAGTGCGCAAGTGCACACATCAAGTAATAAATGGGAGTGTTAATGCCCAGATTATCGTTCCCACGAGGATGGAACTCTAATTAATGCCTTATACTATTTTACAAAGAATGAAAATGAAAAGAAAAGTTAGTAATTGACCTATTTGGTCAAACGTTCCCTACTGTCTTGACAACGTTCCTCAAGGACAGTAAGTTCAATCTGACAGCAAACAGTTCATCGCTTCGTTATGTGTGTTATCCTTCTTTTTGAGGGAAGGAACAACAATATTCATGAGAGGTTTATAGATACAAGATTAAATAAAGAAAAATACTACAAATAGTAATAACAGTAATTAAGAGACAACATGGTGGATGGTTTGAAAACAGTTTTAACAGAAGGAACGGATCCACTACTCCATTCTTAAATAGTTAGTTTCTCTACTCAAGACTCAACACTTTTGTATCTGTTCCAGTCTCTTTACTGCCAACTCTGATTCCTCAGCTCATGGACTAGATGGCTCATAAGTTTCCATATTCCTATGGCTCCCTTGACTCCAACAGGTACTAGGTACAGCACCTTTGAGTGAACGAGGTGGTCCCTTATTCTTAAGGCAACCAGCAATATTGTTTCCACAAGACTGCCTTCCCCCTCTGGTTAAGCTGTCTGAAATCCCTTCTTTACGGAAGTTTCTTTCTTAGTATGTGTTCAATTTCCATTGGTACACAATGAATATAGCTCACTTAACTAGAGAAACACAAAAGCTGTAATACAAGAGTTTTTAAAGTAATTTTGTAAGAACTTTGCAATTTTTCTGCTCCACAGATATTTTAGCCCATGACTACTAGTTTAAACATAATTATTCCAAACTGAAGTCCTATAGACCCGAGATTCAGTTCAGAGATAACGAATGGAAAGGAGAGAAATAACACTTGTATTGAAATAAAAACAACTTGATTACAACAAAATGAAAAGTGGAGAATATGGTTGCTGCTCGTGAGGAGTCTCAAGTGGATGATACAGAATGAAGAAGAAGCGTTGTCACTTAACTAAAATTAAAACTATACAAATATAAAGAAAACTATAAAATAAACTAAGTGATCTCTTCTTAAGGAATTCGATTCTTGTCTTCGTGCTGGAACATCCTATTTATAGGCAGAAGAGTGAAAGGCAAACTCGTAAAACTCTTGGAGTTGTTTTCTTGACTGCATGAAAGGGGCGGTGAGAGCAGTGCTTTGAGGGGCGCAAGTGGCTGGATGAGACAGTTTTTGTTGAGATTTCTCTTTCCTTCTGATCTCCCCCATGCCTTGCTTTCCTTTTCAGCCAATAGGAACCGTTTATTCCCTGCTGCGCACATTTCTCCTTGGTTGATTGCTGCCTACTTGTGCTTAATTGGAAACTTCTTTTCAACGTTTCCTAAAAAGTGGTCAGAAAGATTGAGTAAGTGAAGCAGGTGTATTTAATGTTCCAAATCCGTTTCCCTTTATATATATTTTCCAAAATATTATGTCACCTTCCGTTCCCCACTATGTTTTTGTAGTAAAGATATAAAACATGTGTTTTTAGTGCTAAAGTTGCTCATCAGGTGAGGGAACGGATGGTAATTTGCCATAAAAATGGGCTTAGATGGGAACAAATTTTTGTCCCATCACCTTCTATAAATAGAGGATTAAGTCTCTGAGGTACATACTCCGAATCCCCTGCTCTTTTGTATATCACTATTCACACACCCCACGTCTTTGGCTGTATGCCGGTATTATTGTGCATAATGATTTGTTACTCCTTGCGGTGTCTCTTCCATTTACTCCTCGAGCATAGCAATCCAAGATACAAATACTAAACTTCATTTGGACATTCCGATCGTCTGGGATTGAACATTGGCGCCGTCTGTGGGGATTGACAAACTCATATTCCCATCCAATCATGATGAATATGCAAAACACAGTGAATAGCTAGCCGCCGCCGCCACCCGACAATCACCAAATAGAACCAATGCATAATGGTCTACAGGCTTTAAAAAATAAAAAAATAAAAAGTTGATCGTATAAGATTGGGGTAGATTTGAAAGCGAGGCAGAGTGCATTGTCGCTCTTGCGACTTACGCTTAAGGTTTATTCTTCAAGTACAAAACCTGTCCAATAAAAAAGCTTCCTATTATTGCCTAATTGGTCGATATAAAAGGACCTCCAAGCATAATGACTCATGGCATGTTATACAAAACAAAGAGAAGAATAAGAAGCTAAATTTCATCAATCGGCAAAGGGCTAGTTAAGCAACTCAGCCACCGCCTCGAGCTTCAGAACGGCAAAAAGGCCCTCGCCCTTGCCTCGCACTAGTCAAGAAGCTCAGCCAAGGCCTTGAGCTTCAACTCAGCCTGGCCACAAGCTCTAACTTCAACAGCTCGACCATGACCTTGAGCTTCAACTCAGCCTAGCCAAGGGATCCATGTTTAACAGCTCGACCACGTCATAGAGCTTCAACTCAGCCCAGCCAAGGGCTTCAAGATTATCAGTTCGACCACAACCTTGAGCTTCAACTGAGCCCATCGAAGGGCTTCAAGATTATCAACTTGGCCATGGCCTCGAGCTTCAAATCGGCCATGGGCTCAAACCCTAAGATCATCAGCACGGTCATGGACTCGAGCTTCAACTCAGCCCGGCCAAGGGCTCCAAGTTCAACAGTTCGGCCATTGTCTTGAGCTTCAATTCAGTTTGGCCATAATCTCGAGCTATAAAATTCAATAACTCGGCTACGGCCTCGAGCCCCAAGATCATCAGCTCAGTCATGGACTTAAGCTTCAACTCATCCTAGCCAAGGGCTCTAATATTATTAGCTCAGCCAAGGAATCTAGCTTCAACTTAGCCTAGCCAAGGGCTCTAAGTTTAACAGCTTAGCCATGACCTTGAGCTCCAACTCAGCCTAACCAAGGGCTTCAAGAATATCAGCTCAGCAAAGACCTCGAGCTTCAACTCAACCATGGCCTCGAGCCCGAAGATCATCAGCTCAGCCATGGACTTGAGCTTCAACTCAGCTCAGCCAAGGGCTCCAAGATTACCAGCTCAACCATGGACTCGAGCTTTAACTCAACTCGGCCAAAGGCTCCAAGTTTAACAACTTGGTCACACCCATGAGCTTCAACTCAACCCAGCTAAGGACTTCAAGATTATCAGCTCGGCCACAGCCTCGAGCTTCAACTCAGCCCGGCTAAGGGCTCCAAGTTCAACAGCTTAGCCACTACCTTGAGCTTCAATTCAGCTCGGCCATAGTCTTGGGTTATAAAGTTTAATAACTCGGCTATGGCCTTGAGCTTTAACTCAGCCTAGCCAAGGGTTCTAAGTTTAACAGCTCGGCCTTGACCTTGAGCTTTAACTAAGCCCAGTTTAAGGCTTCAAGATTATGAACTATGCCATGGACTTGAGCTTTAACTCAGCCCAGCCAAGGGCTCCAAGATTATCAGCTTGGCCATGGACTTGAGATTCAACTCAGCCCGACCAAGGGCTCTAAGTTTAACAGCTCAGCCACGTCCTCGAGCTTCAACTCAGCCCAACCAAGGGCTTCAAGATTATCAGCTCGGCCATGTACCTAAGCTTCAACTCAGGCCCGACACAAGATCCAACTTCAACAACTTAGACATAGCCTTGAGCTTCAATTCAGCCCAACCTAGGTCTCTAAGTTTAAACTTAGTCTTCACATGTTTTTTCCTTGCTCTTAAGCTTTTTCATCTTAACCTTTGAACTTAGTCTTCACATCTTAATGTCGCTGATGGACTTCCTTCTTGTTCCTTTCCTCAATCTTTTTCTTCTCAATGTAATTAACTTGATTTTTAGGTTGAGATGCAGGAAATAGAGCTTCATTAGTAAGTACCTTGAATGTTGTTCGTTCTCCATCCACGCGCATTATCAACTCACCCTTAGGTACATCGATCAGCGCTCCTGAGGTTGCTACGAATGGCCTTCCGAAGATCATAGGCACACTAACATCTTCATTAATGTCAAGAATAACAAAATCAACAGGAATTAGAAATTTGTCTACCTTGACGAGCACATCTTCCACAATACCATGTGCTTGCTTTGTTGAGCGGTCGACCAGTTGAACATTCATCCTAGTTGGCTTCACTTCATCAATTCCCAGCTTCTTCATCCGAGTTAGGGACATCACATTTATGCTGGCACCAAGATCGTATAAGACTTTCTCTATAGTCATCTTGCCGATGGTGCATGGAATACTGAAGCTCCCTGGATCCTTCAACTTTGGAGGCAAGTTTATCTGTATGATTGCATTGCACTCCTCTGTTAGTGTAACAGGTTCATCCTCTGTGAGCTTCCACTTCTTAGATATTGTCTCCATCAAAAACTTGGCATATGAAGGCATTTTCTCCACAGCTTCTGCAAAAGGAATGTTAATTTGCAATTTCGTAAAAATATCTAAAACTTTAGACAATTGCTTCTTTTGTTCATGTTGCTTGAGCTTCATGGGATATGGAGGTTTCTCAAAACGTGAGAAATCCCATTTCTTCTTTTGAACTGTAGGAGGTTACTCTTTTACTTTTTCCTTGCCTTCTTGAGTGTGCTCATTGTTGCCTGTAGAAGCTTCAACTTCCTTTTTTCTAGATCCTCGCTTTTGGTAGTAATGGTATTGAAGTGCTCCCTTGGATTGATTATGGTGTCACTCGGGAATGTTCCTTGACTTCTCTCAGTTACTTGTTTTGACAACTGCCCAATTTGAGTTTTCAGATTCCTTATAGATGCTTCTTGATTCCTGAAAGTGGATCTGGTCTCTTGCATGAATGCGATTGTATCACTCCTGAAGGAATCAGTGCTTTGTATATAATCTGTAGTAGTCTTGGTCAATTGCATTAATGCCTTTTCTAATTCAGAAGTATGGCTCTGTGGGATTGGTGGAGATTGCAAATACTGTGATGACTTGTAATCAAGACCCCATGATTCTGTCATTTAGGGTTAAAAGTATTTCCAAGAGCATTGTTCTAATTCCTTAGAAGATTGTGCTGAGCTCTCTGATCATACCAGATCCCATTTACTTGGACTGGATCTCCTCCTATGAGTGCATTACACTTATTAGTCTCATGCTCTCCATTAAAGTACTCACATGCTACTGGTTGAGCTTGAACTGCAGAAGCTTGAAAATTTTCAAATTTGCAATTCAGACTAGCAATTTGCTGAGAGATGAGTTTCTGCTCGGCTAACATTGCATCACTGTTCTCCAGTTGAAGAACTCTTCTCTTAGGTTGTGCTGTAATGCTTTCATTCTCATGTGCTTCCATGGATTCGAACAACGCCAATGCTTGAGTTGGTGTTTTCTGTCTTATAGAACCTCCAGCTGCAGCATTGATAACCATCCTTGAGGAAGGAGTGATTCCATTGAAGAATATACGGACATTTTCCCCAGGTTGCAACTCATACTGAGGACATCTTCTCAGTAGTTCTTTAAATCTCTTCCATGAAGCACAAAGAGTTTCTCCTTCGGGATGCGTAAAATTGATGATATCATTCACCAACCTGTTGTATTTTGTCATTGGGAAGAACTAAGCTAAAAACTTGGCAGCCAAATCTTCCCAGGTATTGATGTTGTTTGTTGGCTGTTGTTCTAACCAGTTGAATGCTTCCTCTTTGAGAGAGAAAGGGAACAACCGCAATCTCAGTGCATCATCAGACACCCCATTCCATTTGACGGTATCATAAATCATCAAGAACTTCTCCAGATGAGCATGTGGATTCTCCAAATCATCCCCTGAGAATTGGGATTGTTGGACCAAAGTCACCAAAGCTAGCTTGATCTCAAAGTTGTTGATGGGACGAAAATTCGTGCCCATCTAAGCCCATTTTGATGGTAAAATGCCATTCGTTCCCTCACCTGATTAGAAACTTTAGCACTAAAAGCACATGTTTAATATCTTTTTGACAAAAACACAGTGGGGAACGGATGTTAACGTAAGTCTTTGGAAAATATATAAAAAGGAGAACGAATTTGGAACATTAAATACACCTGCTCCACTCATTTAATATTTCTGACCACTTTGCAGGAAACGTTGGAAAGAAGTTTCCATAAAGCATAAGCGGTGCAGCAATCAAGCAAGATGAAACGTGCGCAACAGGGAATAAACGGTTCCTATTGGTTGAAGAGGAAAGCAAGGCATGGGATGATAAGAAGGAAAGACAAATCTCAACAATAACTGTCCCATCCAGGCACTTGCACCCCTCAAAGCACTATTCACACCACTCCTTCCATGCAATCAAGAAAACAACTCCAAGAGAATTACTCACTTTGCCCTTCACTCTTCTGCCTATAAATAGGACGTTCCAGCACGAAGAAAATCATTGAATTCCTTAAGAAGAGATCACTTAGTTTATTTTATAGTTTTCTTTGTATTTTTGTAAAGTTTTAACTTTAGTTAAGTGACAACACTTCTTCTTCATTCTGTATCACCCACTTGAGACTCCTTATGAGCAACAACCATATTCTCCACTTTTCATTTTGTTGTAATCAAGTTATTTTCATTTAAATACAAGTGTTCTTTCTCTCATTTCCATACGTTATCTCTGAACTGAATCTCGGGTCTATGCGACTTCAGTTTGGAATAATTTTGTTTAAACTAGTAGCCATGGGCTAAACTATCCGTGGAACGGAAAAACTGCAAAGTTCTTAAAGACTTATTTTCGAAACTTTTGTATTTAAGCTTTTGGATTTCTCTGGTTAAGTACGCTATATTCATTGTGTATCAATGGAAATTGAACACATACTGAGAAAGGAACTTCCATAAGGAAGAGATTTCAGACAGCATAACCAGAGAGGGAAGGTAGTGTTGTGGAAACAATACTGCTGGTTGCCTTAGGAATAAGGGGCCACCTCGTTCATTTTAAGGTCCTGTACCCAGTACCTGTTGGAGTCAAGGGCGCCATAGGAATATGGAAACTTGTGAGCCATCCAGTCCATAAGCTGAGGAATTAGACGTTGGCAGTTAAGAGACTGGAACAAACACAAAAGTGTCAAGTCTTGAGTAGAAAGAATAATTATTTAAGAATGGAACAGTGGATCCGTTCTTTCTATTAAAACTGTTTTAAATCATCTATCTTGTTGTCTCTTAATTACTATTATTACTATTGTTATTTTTCTATTATTTGTTCAATCTTGTACCTATAACTCTACCAAGAATATTGCTTTTCCTTCTCTCAACAAGAAGGGTAACATACATAACGAAGCGATGAACTGTTGCTGTCAGATTGAATCTACTATCCTTGAGGAACATTGTCAAGATAGTAGGGAACGTTTGACCAGATAGATCAATTTACTAACTTTTCTTTTCATTTTCATTCTTTGTAAAATAGTATAAGGCATTAATTAGAGATCCATCCTTGTGGGAACGATAATCTGGGCATTAATACTCCCATTTATTACTTGATGTGTGCACTTGCGCACTTGGGTTGAGACTAAGAGAGCAACTGTGTTCTTTCTTAGTGAACTGAGGAACGTCTTCATCATAATATATTTTTCACCCAGCAGCTTTTGACCCAACAGTTGTTAGCCTCAATTGTTGGCTTTGTGATGCTTGAGTTTGGTCTCGTGAAGCTCAGCGTGAGAAACACATCCATCAAAGCTTCTGGAGGAGGTTGAGGATTATTGCCAGCCATCTCGTTTGGTTCTGTTCTTGGCTGTGAACTGGAAGATTCTTTTTGTTTCTTTTGTTTGTAAGTTTCATGTTCTTCTTTACAGTCTTCTCAATCTCAGGATCAAATAGCAGATAAACGGGATTTACTGTACCTCGCATAAATAAGAAAAATCATATTAATAAAAATAAAAATAAAATCCAATCTCAAAGATCGAAAGTTATGAATAATATTGGCGTAATTAATCCCCGGCAACGGCGCCAAAAACTTGTTGCGATTTCGGCAAGTATACCGATTGTTTCAAGTAATAAAAGTGTAAGTAGAGTATCGTCCAACGAGGACTAATGACACCAATTACTATTCTCACTATTCCCTCTAATTTGGACAAATCAATTTGGTTGTTGAGAATAATTTTTGAATAAAAATAAAAATAAAAGAACAAAAAATAATTGCAAGAAAATCAAGAACATTCAAGAATAATCAAGAACGCAAAGAAATGTATGAATAAAGATTGTAATACAAAGTTGTAGCCTGGATGCACTTCACCTTTGATCCTCCTTTAGAAATCTGAATTAATTCTTATAATTAATTAACTCAATAGTTCTGACAATTCATCTTTTTCAAATCTATTAGTTAAACCCTAATGTCTTAGTTTATTTAACCCTTTAATCCAATTAGAATCCTAGTGTCCTAGTAATCCCTCTTGAATCAAGCATTAAGTGGATGAATTAAAAAGTCTGCAATTCATACAAGCCTATGTCTAGATCATGCACAAGTTGTTATTTTATCCCAGTCTGAATTAAAACTCCAATATGTCTATTGTGAGCTCTAACCCTTAAAGCCCTATAATAGAATGATCGATTCTAATAAGGATATGGAAACATTTATTCAAGGTAAAATAAAACTAATTGAATTAAAATAATTATAAAAATAATTCAGAATTCATAAAGGGTTCACATCGAATCCATGACCCTAACTACATAAGAAAATTAGAAAGACATAACTGGCTTAAACAAAACAAAGAAATAAAAAGAAGAAGAACTCATAAAGAAGAAGAAGAAGAATCAATGTTGCACAGTCTTCTTCAAGCTCTTCTCTCTCTGGGATCTCCAACTCTGGTATCTGGTGTTCTCTTCCTTCCTCTGAATCTGCTTGCCTATGTCGAATTCTCTTTTGTGTTTCCAAGAGTTGCCTTTTTATAGGGATGAAATCATATCTTTTAATTTTCCATAATATGTTCAATGGAATCTTCACTAAAATCTCTAATCATATCTTTGATCCAATCCTTCAAATCTTTCCCTTTTTATTTAATGGAAAACTTTCCTTAAAATTATTCAAAGGAAGATTTGATAAGATCTTCAATGATTCAGAAATCCAAAGCAACTCTACTTGATCTCTCCCATTTATCTCTTTATTGAGCTGAAATTTACGGCAAAATATAAGAAATTTTATGAGAATATTATTGAGAGTAAAATAACAATTTAATTATAATTCTCGTAAATTTTAATTACTTTTAAATCAATTTTATGCTCATATTAACCCTTAATACATAGTAAATTGGAGACTCATCAGATTATCAGCTCAGCCATAGCCTTGAGCTTCAACTCAGCTTTGGCATTGAGCCCCAAGATTATCAGCTCAGCCATGCACTTGAGTTTCAACTCAGCACAGCCAAGGGCTCCAAGTTCAACAGCTCATCTACGACCTTGAGCTTCAAATCAATCTTAACTTCAACTCAACCCAGCCAAGGAATTCAAGATTATCATATGGCCATGGTCTCGAGCCCTAACATCATCAACTCGGCCATGTACTCGAGCTTCAACTTTGCCCGGCCAAGGGCTCCAAGTTCAA